CCCGCACTCCAACGGCCGCGCGGGGCCTCCTGCCTCCTCGCCTCTTGCCTCTATTTGCCTGCTTCTTTCTTTCCTTCTCCCCCCCCCCCCCTCCCCCGCCCCGGCCCCCCGGTCCCTCGCCCCCGCTCTCGAACGCATGCCATGATGCACACATGCTGACGCCACGGTCGCCCTCCCGGCTGCTGGGGCCGCCGTGGGCAGGTTTTCCTGAAATTCAAAACCGATGGCACCGGCAAGTTCCTGGACCTGACCGGGCTGCCGAGTGTGACCGAGCCGCATGACTTCGGTCTGTGGGGCTCGCCGGCGCACCCGGACGGCCTGGAGCGCTTCCGGGACCTGTGCATCCTGTCCGGGTGTGATTACCTGCAGAACATCAAGAACTTCGGCATCAGCAAGGCGTATGCCCAGCTGAACCGCCTCGGCTCGGCGGAGAAGGTGCGCGCTGTGCCTGTGTTTGCCTATGGCCGGCTCCGGGTGGTCTTGGGCGTCGGCACTTACATGGTATACACGTGCGGCCTCTTGGTCGGGCATGGCGCATCGGGGGTCCCGTCCCCGCGCCGACACATGCACCCGGGCGATAGGTGTTCCTGCATAACCGAAGCATCTTCCCGGCGGCGTACCAGCAGGAATTCCGCCGGGCGGCCACCTGCTTCCAGATGCAGCGGGTGTGGGACGTCCGGCGGCGCTGTTTGCGGTACCTGGGCCAGGACCCGGTGACCGGGGACGAGCGTGCGGCGCTGGCTGCGCAGCATCGAGACCGGCGGCATCGCCAGGGGGCCGGGCCCGAGCCCGGGGCCCGGGACTCGGCCCTCCGGGCGCCGGGGCCCGCGTCCAGTCTGGCGGCCGAGTGCGGCCGCTTCCTGCTGGACCGCCAGGGCGGCCGGCCCGCCGGCGATGCCTGCCCCTGTGGCAGTCGTCTGTCGGGAACGCCTCCCCTTCAGGAGGAGCCGTGCTGCGATTTGCCGGAGTCCTTGGCTCTTTGGCAGCGTGAGCGCCTTCATGCTGGCCTGTCGGAGGAGGACGATTTTTACATTGGCCCGTGCGTGCGGGCCTTGCCGTATTGCCTGCCCCCCCTTTTCCCCCTGTTGCCCGGGCTGACGACCCTCTCTCGCTCCCTCTCTCGGGCTGGCTGCTCCCGGCCGGGGCATGTGCTTGTGGGCGTGTGGCCGATGCGTCTGCCTGTCCACCATGCTGTGCAGGTCCCTGCCCGACTCGATTGTCGAGCAAATTGTTCTGGGCAATGTCGATCCCATCACGTTCGCTGTGATTGATGACTACTTCCCCTTTACTTCAGTGCGTCTGCCGGTGGTGGTATGTGTGTGTGTGTGTGTGTGTACAAGTGTATGCCCCCGCGCACAGATGCATGCGTATGCAACCACACACACACACACACACACACACACACACATGGATTCAAACGCATTTCCCGGCACCGACTGACACTTGGCCCTTTTTTTTTGACATACATCCAGGATACCGA